ACTGGGGATCAAGCCCAAAACCCGGGCATGTGCCTGGACTGGGAATTGAACCTGTGACCTACTGGTTCATGGGTCCCTGCTCAACCACTGAGCAACACCAGCCAGGCTATTATTATAGTTTTAAAAACCATGTTGGTAATTTTATGAGCCTAGAGCCTAACCCGGTTTTACACATGGACACAATGTATTATTTGTAAAGTTTAAATATACACTGCATCTGTGGAGAGGGGCAGCTGCACTCTGTTTTGTTTGGAACTTTGACAAGACTTGGTCACCATTTCAGAAAATCACATCTCCATTAGCGATGAGTGGTGTTTGAGCCTGTACCATGTGTGCGATTGCATCTGTTGCAGTCACTGAGGTTCTGCAAGACTGCCTCGCTGTGCCCGGGCGTGCACACGCAAACACACATCACTTACTACTAAATACTTTTCTTGATCCTGTGTAGTACAGTCAGGATTTTATATTGACATTAATTTTTTTGTGTATAGGTAGGTTTTATTATCTATTAATCTCATTGCAGGATAGTAACAAAATATTTGTTATTACAAGGGTGACTGAGTCTGACTGAACTGAGAACCTCTCCTTTAAAATGGAATCCAAACTCCTTTCTCAGCCCTTGGGCCTGTCATAACCAGCCCGGCTGTTGCTGAGCCTCTGCCCTGTCCTTCCATGGAGCCTGCCAAAGGGACCTATTTCTATGTCCCGGAATGTGTCAACATTCTCACGTCCCTGGTCTTGGTACAGGCTGTTCTCTCCCTGAAATGCCCTCAGTCCTCTTTGCACGCAGTCTCAAGGAACGCTGCCTTCCCCCAGCCTCAGGGCCTCACGTGCTTCCTTGGAAACTTGTGTCACCGCTGTGCCCCACCTGCACTGCCATTTCCCTAATTTTCTTTAAATGACCTGTTTTTCATAAATAATTTTAACTTATATTAAGTTTATAAACAAATTGATTTTAAATGTAAATAAATTCTGAAAAGTTGCTTTAATAAATTTATATTAATTTGTATTTAACTCTAGTGTCTTAAATTTTAATTATAAATTGTATTTAATTTAAATAAATGTATAAGTTCATCTATTAAACTACACATAATTTTACTTTGCAAAGAGTAGTGCATATCATCACCATATATAGAAAACTAGCATGAATATAGCCCTAAAAATAAAGCAGCTGTAAAAGGAGCGAGAAGAAACATAAGTTACTCATTTCTGTGTAGATAAAACTGTCAGCAGAGGCCCTGAGGCCGGCTCTTTGTTAGACAGGGAGAGATTTACGGGTGTTAGAAACATGTTAGCCCTGAATGGAGACTCGGCCCCTTGATACTGCGAAGGCTTGAAGGCGGAGTGGAAAGGGAGCCCCCTCTTCCAGGGCGGTGCAAAGCCGGCGCTGCTCTCCCCAGGCCCGCGTGTCGCCGCGACCGGGTCCTTCACGGGCATTTGCAAGCTCCGGCCACGCACCGGCTGCGGCGCCGGTGTCTGCAGGTCAAACCCTGAACCCCGCAGGCACGGCCTGTGCCCGCGGACGCGGCCGGCTGGAGAAGAGACACACCAGTAACCTGGGGGTGGCCCTACAATTGCATCAGGAAAACAGTCTGTGATTTAGAGCCTCTCAGTTCCGCATCCTCTGCATGCGCGGTGGTTGCGGAGGAAACAAGCCCACCCGCAGCTGCATGCGCTAGGCCAAGGTAATTTCAAAATCACTGCGGCCTGCAGTCTTTCAGAGTTTTTCACGGGACAAGAGGGAGGTGGGTGCACGTAAGTTTGATGTGATGTGACCTGGGACCGCCGAACGTGATTTCTTTTTTAATTTTTCCTTTTTTTAGCTGCAGTGGCGGAAGGGCACGAGGCGAGTCTGAGGCAGGAGCCGGGGCCCACCAGCGGGCCACCCCT